GGGAATAGAGGAGAATCATCATGGGCAGTTGAGGATTAGGTCTAAGGGAGAGGAAGTTCGCCAAAGGAAAAAAAGGAAGAGCATTGTTACCAGAAGACTAGGGATGAGAAAACCTGTTAAGGAAACAGAATTTCTAGCTGCCTCCATCCACTATAGCAGGAGTAGCTGGGACAGAGGGAGGAATAGTCAGGCATTGGGAATAGACTATTCTTCACAGAGCCTCAGAGAGCCTCTGCAGTCTGTGATGAAACTCCTTGTCCTGAGAGGATGAGGAGGGATGTTGAGGAAGGTCAGCTCTTCAGAAGGAGACCTTGATAGGTCAATCAAACATATGGGTAATTGAATAACTTGAAAGATGTAGTTGAGGCTGTTGGGGAGTAGTAAGAAAAATATAAACAAGATCATTGTGAGTGGGGCTAGGTTAGGTCCTGACCTAGTTGGACCCATGTCATGTCTACACATGTCAGTGTGATGGTTAGCATCCTGGGAACCGCTTGCTGTCTGCTGATCTCGGACAAATGACTTAACCACGGTAAACCTCAGATTCCTCATCTCTGAAGTTGAGAGAAGGAACCAATCTTCTGGGCTGGCTGGGAGAATTGCATGAGGCGGTGTGGGTGAAAACCCCTAATATTGTGCCAGTCGACGCGAGTTGAATCTAAGCAAGGAGAAGGGCATGCCAGAAGCAGCCCTCAAATGGAAACAGGAGACATTCATGATGGGTCGGAAAGCCAGAGCTTTGGTCTCCTGCAAAGGGAGCCCTCGAATTCAATTTGGGGGCAGTAATGAGGGTTAAAATTCTACTTTGGATCTGAAACTATGCTGAAACACCAGAACTTGCAGATGGGCAAGTTCTTAACTGTGTATAAGTGTAACCGCTGTTTACTTTTGCCTTTTTGTTCTTCGTGCACACTTTCCTGGCCGATTAAACACTTCAGAACAGGAGCTACTTAGACTCCCCAAGGCAAGGCTAGGGCACCCGACCCCACACCCAGGCACTCCACTTCACCCTGTGCCAAGAATTCGTAGGCCTTGCTCCTGCCTCAAGTGCTCTTTCTGAGGACCAAGGATGGAAATACCTACCGTGGTCTCTCCTCTGCAAACTCAAACCCAGTGAGTCTTGTGCCAGCAGGGTGGCAGGTGCGTGCTGCTCTCCCTGTCCAGGAGGGAGGGAGAGCGGGACACCACTGGGAAGGTGCCAGTGTCGAGAGAACACAAGATGTTCCCACCCCTCCTGACCCCACGTGGTCCGTCTGTGTGGAAAAAGCGTTGACCAGAAGCACAAAGGCCACTTTGTATGGTATTGAGCAAGCCCCTGGCCTCTCTAAGGACCTTTCTTCACTCTTAAAAGGGGGGCAAAATATCTTGGAGAGCAGCGAGGGGAAATGAGAGCAAGCTCTTGGTGACAGAGCCTCACAGGCAGCCATGCCCTGTGCAGGTTTGTGTGGTTACTACCCTTCTACACCCCGTGGGGTTTCACAGCATGTCCGAGCTGTGCTCTGTGTCCTGGGCTAAGAAGTGGATGGTCTGGTTGGCTGCCATGGCTCAGTGGTTAAGCGTTGACCTATGAACCAAGAGGTCACAGTTCAATGCCCGGGTTGTGGGCTTGATCCCCAGTGTGGGGCATTCAGGAGGCAGCCGATCAATGATTCTCTTTCATCATTGATGTTTCTATCTCCCTCTCCCTTTTCCTTCCTCTCTGAAATCAATAAAAATATATTAAAAAAAAAAAAAGAAGTAGATGGTCTATCTGGGTCAGATTACCAGGCACAACAATGAAGCCAATTACCTTGACCCAAAATCAAGGTCATTAGAGATGTTCTTGGGGTTTTCTGTCTGGGATCCAAAGTGGCATTGCTGCCAGGCACTCCAGGAGTTCCTCCCCTGTGTCCAGAGGGGGAACTGACACGTCAGCCAGGAAATCTCTGCGTGTTTGTGCAACAGGAGGAAGGCAACTCGGAAGCATGTGCTCATGGCATGTAGAAGGGAACAGGAAGCAGAAAGGAAACAGGAAGGGCACTTCCTCAGCTCCTCATCACATGTCCCGGGCTGGAGTCAGAGCCCAGCCACCACCAAATGGCCTCACCTCAACCCCCTACCACCACCACCACGGGGCCCCTAGAGGTGAGGCAGAGACTCTACCAAAACAGATGGTCGTGTTTTGTGGCAAACATTGCCATTCCCAATGGCATCTATGAGACAATTCCTACGTGACTGCCTCAGTGCTTGGCATTTGGGGAGGAAAAACAAAAACATAAGAGAAAGTATTTGCTGCCACAACTGCAATAAACAGCTGTGTGTGCGCAGACAGCCCTGGAGAGGGACTTCCCAGGTCTAAGTCATCAAGTAACATAGGTGCCACCAGGCTCACCTTCAGGCACATCCCTGGTCGCTGATGCCCAGTGCCTGGAGGGACAACCTGAGGGACAAGAAGGTGGGGCTAATTGGAGTGTGGGATTGTCCCTGGCTGAAGTGGAAGGGGCATTCTGGAGGTTGGGGCTGGTTACTTGGCCAGAGAGAAAACACCAGCTCAGGGTAGGGCAGCTCCAGCCAAAGAAGGCTGTGTCAGGGACACAGGCTGACCAGCAAAGGGTAACAAAGGCTCCATCAGACACAAGAGGTCAGGCCCAGGAGGAGAAGGAGGCTCAAAGCTTGAAGGCTGGCCAGGGTGGGGTGGGGTGTGTGTGCTTAGGATACTGAGGGGAGGATCCAGATGCTCCCTTAAGGCCCCTGGGGATGAAGCCTCCTTTTCCCCTCCTCTTCCTGTCCCTCCTTTTCCTTCCTTTGATTTAGAAGCTCTTTACTAGACTATTTCCTAAACAATAGGATTTATTGGAACCTTTCCTGCTTTAACGTGCTCTGTGAGTCTAAAAAACGAAATGGACTGTTCTTGCTCTTGATAACTTTCTGGTTTGTCACAAAAACATTTCTCCAGGAGGATCTCGGGAACACTTCTCTAACGCAGGCATGGTCTCCAGCACAGGCATGTTGCTAACACAAGGGCAAATGTCTTGATCTTCATTGTGGGTGGTAGAATTCTTCTTGGGCAGGAAGCAGTCCTTGTTGGGGAAAATATTTTGATAAGCTGAAAGCATGGGAGTAGGAGTCGGAGAACTGGATGTTTCTGTAGGCCACGCACTCAAGATAAGGTGCAAGCAGCTCTGCCTGAGACCAGGAGGGAATCTGGCCTCTGAGAAGGAGGAGAGGAAATTCAGGGAAGCCAGGGGAAGAATAAGGAGAGATTCCTGTAAAATGGCAGGTGAGGGGCTGGGTTAATTTGCTGTCATAACAAAAAACCACAGACTGGGGTTTAAACAACAGAAATTTATTTTCTCAGAGTTCTGGAGGCTAGAAGTCTACGTTCGAGGTGTCGGCAGGGTTTGTTTCTTCTAAGGCAGTGGTTCTCAACCTTCTGGCCCTTTAAATACAGTTCCCCATGTTGTGACCCAACCATAAAATTATTTTCGTTGCTACTTCATAACTGTAATGTTGCTACTGTTATGAATTGTAATGTAAATATCTGATATGCAGGATGGTCTTAGGGGACCCCTGTGAAAGGGTCGTTCGACCGCCAAAGGGGTCTCGACCCACAGGTTGAGAACCGCTGTTCTAAGGCCTTTTTCCTTGGCTTGTAGGTGGCTGCTTCTCCCTGCATCCTCACATGGTCTTCCCTCTGTGCGTGTCTGTGTCCTACTCTCCTCTTCTCATAAGGACAGCAGTCACACTGGATTAGGGCCCACCCACATCGACCTCATTTTAACTTGATCTTTAAAGACTCTCTCTCTCTAAACACAGTCATTTTCTGAGGTCCTGGGGGTTAGGACTTCAGCAGATAGGTTTTGGGGGCAGCACAGTGCAGCCTATAACAGGAGCCAAAGGACATTTGAAGACCACCCTCCACCCCCACAACGTTGTCTTCCTATGAAAATCTTCACTAACTACTTTGTGTGAGTAGAAGTCAAAGAAAAGGTACGCCTCCCATCTGGGAGCCATGTGATGTGCAACAGAGGTGGCCCTGTGGGATCATAAACGCTGAGAAAGTGAGCCTCCAGGGAGACGGAGGAAACTTGGGATGTGCTTTGAACCTCCCCAAGGCCTGGGGACCTCAGCTACCATCTGGTTTGCATCACTGATCATATTTCCGTCTTGGCTTTCATTGTCAGGAAACTCAGAGTCACACTGGAGGTCCCTTATGATAAATGAACTTATGTAGAGTTTCTCCCTATGCTTTATCCTACTATTTGGCTTTCATTTCCACTCTTGCACCTCTATTGTGGGCCTTTCCTGTCTTTGTTTACCCAGCATCCCTTCTTTTGGAGCATGTCACCCCACTCCAGATAACCCCTACAGATCTGCCAATCATAGTGCCCAGCACCATCTCCTGCCCTCATGACCGGGTGGGCACCTGACTCTGGCTGGCCAAAGTGCCACACCCACATGGCCACAGATAAGGTTATGTACCACAAGATGGGCCAATAAGAGAATTACCTGTGATCAATATGGGAGAGAGATGTTCTCTTAGCTATTTACTAATTTGAAAGGGTATAAATCTGAGGGTTCTAGGAGCTATCTTTCCCGGCATAAGGACACAGACTCATTTTGCAGGAGGCCAAGCAGAGGCAAGCAGACTGAGAGATTCAGACAGAACCTTGAGAGTATTGTTTGAGTCACAAAACCTAGCTATGCCTAAAGCCAGATCTACCCCTGGAAATACCCTGTAATTGGAGCTAATAAACTCTCTTTTCCCAGCATGCACTGGGATGTAGACTGGAGGTAGGGGTCAGATGAGCTCTGTTTCTCATTGCAAGTCCAGAAGAAAGCCCTCAATTTGAGCACAAGGCCAAAGGAACTGTGCTTATCTTAGAAACCGCAAGGGCAAGTTCAGTTCAAGGACCGTAACCAGGAATAGACGTCTGGAGTTAGTTACTAGTTAACAGTGTGTAAACTCAAATAGAACATCCATCCACTAGGATTGTGGGGATAGTATATGTCCAGGAACTCCCAAGCCTGATGAACACTGGTCTGTGATTGCTCCAGACCCCAAGGCAAGTCCCAAGTCCTGCAATTTTGCTGAGAGGAAGTGGCCACTAAACCAACTCCCTGGTGGGGAGTCTTCCTTCCTCCACACCCTCCTCAGAAGTGGCCATGGGAATCCTCGACAAGGATGTCCCAGCAGTTGGTAAGAAGCGGGGCAGGTGGGTGGGCTGACCCAGAGACTGACAGCTCTGCCTGGGGCTGCCCCTGTCCCTGCGCTGCGGAGCATGGAGTGTTTGAGGTTTTCCCTTCTCCCTGTTGCCCAATGGGAGACATAGAGCAATGTTTCTGTTTGCCCTTTGTCATTGGGTCCCGGGAATGTTGAGGGTGGTTAAACTTATCTTTTAGCTGTGGGCTGCCAAATCCACGAAAGGCTGCTCTGGAGCCTGATGACGGAGGAAAGCACAGCACCCAGCAATCCTGGGCTTGGGGTTGGATGTGACAACTGGACATGATTTTGGTTTTTACAGCTTTTTTTGTTTAAACAGTCATTGCATTATGCTAGTCAGGGGGCGTTTGTAGCATCCCATTTATGGGAAGAAGAGTGATTTTGTTTGTCAAGCTACCTTCCCAGGAAGGACTTCCTTCTAACTTCCTGAGCTTTTGGAGACTCTAGCAGTCAAGACACTCCCACCCGCCCCACCAATGTGGCTTCGTTGGTTGAGCATCTTACCCTGCACCTGGAGATTGTGGTTCCATTCCTGGTCAGGCATATGCCCAGGTTGTGGGTTTGATCCCCAGTAGGGGGCATACAAGAGGCAATCCATTAATGTTTCTATCTCTCTTCCTCTCCCTTTATCTCTCTGAAATGAATTTAAACACACACACACATACACATTTTAATAAACACTCCCTATTTTCATTACACAGAGATAGAACCCAACCCAGGCTGGCCAATCAGACCCCATTTCTCTATCCAGAGGGATTGGTTCAATTTTGGACATGTGACATAAGCAAGGCCAATCATGATTGACAGATGAATATTGGATAAGAGGGGTCCTCTTTATCCAGAAAATGCTGAAAAAGTAAAAGCAGCTTCAAATTCAGCAGTCGACCCTCTTTTCTTACAGGCTCTTCAGTCCTCGTACCATCAGGGATTTTTCACTAGCTGTTTCAACTCATGAAAGCCTGGAGCCTCAGATCATCAGTTTTCCTTTGACCCATGGCATGAGTTATTTAGACGATATGTTTTAATTTTCAAATCTTTGCATTTTTTGTTGTTACTGATTAACTTCATTGCTTTTGCTAGACAATGTGATTTGTATGAATCTATGTGATCGGTATGTTCGATGCTTTGAACTTTCTTTAGATTTGCTTTATACACTTGCATGTGATCAAATTTTATGGAATATACCTTGGGTGCTTGAAAAGAATGTTTTCCTAAATTGATTTGTGCAGAGTTCTATGTAAGTCAAGCATTATTTGTGTTGTTCAAATCAACATTCTTACTGACTTTTGTTTTTTATCTACTTGGTCTGTAAATTACACAGTGGTGTATTAACATCTCCCATTATGATCATGAGTGAGCTAATTTTTCCATGTTTTTATAATTTTTTTCTCTTTTTTAAAAAAATCAACAATTTTTTAGAGCAATTTTAAATGCACAGCAAAATTGAGCAGAAAGTAAAGAGATTTTCCTTATACTTGCTGCCCCCACACATGCATAGCCACCCCCAATATCAGCATCCCCCACCAGAGGGGTACAATTATTGATTTTATGCTGACACAATACCACCCAAAGTCCATTGTTTACATTAGTTCTCTCTTATTGGTCTATATTCTATGGGTTTGGATAAATGTATATGTATCTACCATTATGGTATCTGATAGAGTAGTTTCACTGTCCTGAAAATCCTCTGTGCTCCAACCTGTTTATCCCTCAATCCCCCCCAGCTCCTGGAAACCAGTGCTTTTTTTACTGTCTCCATAGTTTGGACTTTTCAAAAATGTCATGTTGTTGGAATCATACAGTGTGTAGCCTTAGTAATATGCATTTAAGGTTCTTTCATATCTTTTCATAGCTTGACAGCTCATTTTTTTTAGCATGGAATAATATTCTATTGTCTGGAATATACCACAGTTTATTAGTATTTATATATCTAGGATGCATCTAAAATTTGGAAATTATGAATAAAGCTGCCGTAAACATTCTTGTGCAAGCCGGTGTGTGAACATAAGTTTTCATCTACTTTGGGTAAATACCAAGAAGCACAATTTTGGATTCCATGGTGAGGGTGTGTTTACGTTAAGTTAGGTGGTGAAAAGCCACCTGTCTTCCAAAGTGGCTGTACCATTTTACATTCTCACCAGCAATGTATGAGAGTTCCTGTTGCTCCACATCCTTGTCGAAATTGGTGCTGTCAGTGTTCGGTTTTTGAATATTCTAACATGTGGAGTGGTATTTCATTGCCTTAATTTACATTTCCCTGATGACATATGATGTGAAGCATCTTTTCATATGCTTGACATCTATATATCTTATTTGGTGAGGTGTCTGTTAGGGCCATTTTAAAATTGGGTCATTTTCTTGTTGTTGAGTTTTTAGAGTTCTTTGTATACTTTGAATAACAGTTCTTTGAATAACAGATGTGTCTTCTGCAAATATTTTCTTCCAGGCTGTGGGTTGTCTTTTCATTCTCTTGACAGTGTCTTTCCTAGAGCAGACAATTTTAATTATAATGAAGTCTAGCTTATCAATTCTTTCATGGATCATGCTTTTGGTATCACATCTAAAAAGTCATCACCAAACCCAGGGTCATCTACCGTTTCTTTTATGTTATCTTCTAAAAGGCTTATAGTTTTGCATTTTACATTTAGGTCTCTGATCCATTTGAGTTAATTTTTATAAAGATTGTAAGATCGTATCTGCAACCAGTTTTTTTCATATGGATGTCCAATTATTCTACCACCATTGAAGAGAATATCTTTTTTTCCACTGTATTATCTTTACTCTTTTGTCAAAAATCAGTTGACTAAATTTATGTGGTGGATTTCCAGGCTCTCTATTCTGTTATATTAATTTATTTGTCTATTCTTTCGCCAATACTATATTGTTTTGGTTATTATAGTTTTATAGTTAGTTCTGAAGTTGAGTTGTGTCTGTTCTCCAACTTTGTTCTTCTTTTTCCATATTAAGTTGGCTATTTTGGATCTTTTGCCTTTCCATAAAAACTTTAGCATCAGTTTGTTAATATCTACAAAATAACTTGCTAGGATTTTGATTGAGATTGCATTTAATCTATAGATTAGATTGGGAAGAGCTGACATCTTGACAATATTGAGTTTCTATCCATGAACATGGAATTTCTCTCCATTTATTTGGTTCTGTGCTTTGATAGCATCTGTATAGTTAATGGCTTTAATCTCCTCCTCCAAATACAAAGGCTTTAGAATACCTTAATTCTACAAAGGCCTTAGAACACTTTCACTCAAACCACTCTCTCCCAAATTATATGCTATTTCTGCCCAGAATTTTAGTTCTTCTTAAACACACAATTAGAGATGATGATGATGATGATGATGATGATGATTGTATATAGTCGTTTGTTTATATTTCTCCATATGTTTATAATTTTTGTTGCTCGCTTTTCCTTCTGACACCTTACATTGTTCTTCTGAACTAATTTTTATTCTTTTTTTAAAATGTATTTTTATTGATTTCAGAGAGGAAGGAAGAGGGAGAGAGAGATAGAAACATCAATGATGAGAGAGAACCATTGTTTGGCTGCCTCCTGCATGCCCCCTACTGGGGATCGAGCCTGCAACCCAGGCATGTGCCCTTGACTGGAATCAAACCCGGAACCCTTCAGTCCGCAGGCCAACACTCTATCCACTGAGCCAAACCAGCTAGGGCTCATTTTTATTCTTGAAGTGTATCTTTTTAAGTTCTATCAGTCAAGGGTCTATTGGTGGAAAGTTCTATCTGAAAATGCCTATTTTCCTTTTGTTTTCAAATAAGCATTTTTCTAGATATAAAATGTTACTTATTTTCTCTTAATATTTTGAAGACATCAATGAATGTTTATTGGCTTCTGTTTTTATGCAAGTCAACAGTTTATCATTCTTTGTCTTTTTTTCTCTGTCTTTATGATTTCTTTGTCTCTAGTGTTCTGCGATCTTACCATATAGCTATCTAAATATAAATTTCCTTTTATTTTTATTGCATGGGATTTGTTGGGCATTCTGGATCTGACAATTTATGTCTATACTAGTTAGAACTCGATTAAGCACATGTGACAGAAATCTCAAAATAAATAGTAATTTGTAAAAGAAGGTAATTTCTCACATATACGTAGTTAGATGCTAGACAATATTTGGCTGTTACAGGTCTTTTACCTCATTACTCTACTGCCCTATAGCCCACAACTTCCCTTCTCAAGGTCCAAGTTAGCTTCTGGAGATCCAGCCCTCACATCTGCATTATCATAAGTCATATGGTACAAGGGAAGGAGGGCTTGCTCTGTTTTCCATAAGGATTCTTCCCAGAAGTCTTACACATTTCTTTTTATATTTCAATTCCCAGAATTTAGTGCATGGCCATACCTACATGCAAAGGAGGTTGGAAATTATGCAACTTTAGTAGGTGACATTGCAACCCCAAATAAATCTGTGGTTCTGGCATAAAGAAGAGAAGAACAATAGTTGTTGGGATAAACAGCTAACAATCTTAATATAGTCCAATTTATTATTTTTCTCCTTTTCAGTTAGTAATTTTTGTGTCATGTTTAAAAATATTTGCCTACACCAAGTATTATCCTAAAAGATTATTTTTTAACCTTTCACATTTAGAGTTATAGTCCACCTGGAATTGATTTTTGTGAATGATTTATTTTGTCAGGATGTATTTTGTCCCTTTGGCTATTCGATTGCTCTAGAAAAGAACATCTTTTCCCCTTGTCTCCCGCTTTATTGCAGGTGCCACCTTTGTCATCAATCAGGTGAACATATATGTGTTGATTTGCATCTCCCTGATGACTAATGATGTTGAGAATCTTTTCATGTGCTTATTGGCTATTTGTATATCTTCTTTGGAGTAATGTATATTCAGATTCTTTGCCCATTTTTAAAAATTAGGTTATTGTCACATTATTACTGAGTTGTAGAAGCTCTTTATATATTCTAAATCAAGTCCTTTATCAAACATCTTATTCGCAAAGTTTTCTCCCATTATTTCTGGACTGTCAATTCTATTCCATGGATCTGTCTACTGTTGCACCAGTACCCACACTGTCTTGATTACTGCAGCTTTATAGTAAGTTTTGAAATTAGAAAGCATGAGTGCTCCACTTTGTTCTTCCTTTTTATTATTTGGCTATTCTGGGTACAATTGGTTTTGGTGTATTACCTTTGTATCCCTCATCCTTGATAAATTTATTTAATTTTTAAAAAATATATATTTTATTGATTTCAGAGAGGAAGGAAGAGGGAGAGAGAGATGGAAACATCAATGATGGGAGAGAATCGAAAAAAGTGGTAAACAGAGGAGACCAAGATGGCGGCATAGGTAAACACCGGAGACTGCTGCCGCAAACAACCACTTCAAAAATACAACTAAAAGACGGAACGGACATCACCCAGAACCACAGGAAGGCTGGCTGAGGAGAGACTCTTCAACTAGAAGGAAAAATAACAGCACACCGAGGCTCAGAGGAGGCGCAGTGTGGAAAAAACTCAGGTGCGGAGGTGCGCGCGCAAAGCGGGCTGGTGGCTGAGAGCGCGGTTGTCGTTTTCGGTCAGGGGGGAGTCTCAGACTCTGAGCTCCAGATACGGGCGAATCGCTGGGGACTCGGACCCAAACGGGAGAAGCGGGAGTGTCTGGCATCAGTTGGAAGGCAGCTTTCCCTCCGAGGTTTGCAGCGGTTCCGGGGGTTCTGAGAAGCAGAGCCTCTGGGAACAGGACTGAGGGCACCATAACGGCTCCCTCCGCCCGCCCTGTTGAGCCCGCCCCGCCCAAGCCCTGCGCAGAGCCATTTGCCAGATCGCCTCAGGCAAAGGCTAGATTAGCACCTCCCCAGAGGACAGAAGTTTTCCGCGGCAGACACAGCTGATTCACACAGCCAGTCGGCCTGGTGGTCAAATCCCTCTAGTATTAACTACAACAATCAAGGCTCAACTAGAACAAGACTGCGCACAAAGACCACTAGGGGGTGCACCAAGAAAGCATAAAAAATGCGGAGACAAAAAAACATGACAGAAATGGAGGATATAGAGCTAAAAATCGCAATTTTGAGGGCTTGCAAAAATGTGCTAGAAGCTGTCAATAAACTTGAGGAGAGAGTCACGAAAACTAATGAGACCCTCGATGCTATGATAAAGAACCAACTAGAAATTAAGCATACACGGACTGAAATAAAGAATATTATACAGACACCCAATAGCAGACCAGAGGAGCGCAAGAATCAAGTCAAAGATTTGAAATGCGAAGAAGCAAAAAACACCCAACCGGAAAAGCAAAATGAAAAAAGAATCCGAAAATACGAAGATAGTGTAAGGAGCCTCTGGGACAGCTTCAAGCGTACCAACATCAGAATAATAGGGGTGCCAGAAGATGAGAGACAGCAAGATATTGAAAACCTATTTGAAGAAATAATGGCAGAAAACTTCCCCCACCTGGTGAAAGAAATGGACTTACAGGTCCAAGAAGCGCAGAGAACCCCAAACAAAAGGAATCCAAAGAGGACCACACCAAGACACATCATAATTAAAATGCCAAGAGCAAAAGACAAAGAGAGAATCTTAAAAGCAGCAAGAGAAAGAGACTCAATTACCTACAAGGGAATACCCATACGACTGTCAGCTGATTTCTCAACAGAAACTTGGCAGGCCAGAAGGGAATGGCAAGAAATATTCAAAGTGATGAATACCAAGAACCTACAACCAAGATTACTTTATCCAGCAAAGCTATCATTCAGAATTGAAGGTCAGATAAAGAGCTTCACAGATAAGGAAAAGCTAAAGGAGTTCATCACCACTAAACCAGTATTATACGAAATGCTGAAAGGTATCCTTTAAGAGGAGGAAGAAGAAAAAGGTAAAGATACAAATTGTGAACAACAAACATGCATCTATCAACAAGTGAATCTAAGAATCAAGTGAATAAATAATCTGATGTACAGAATGAACTGGTGATTATAATGAATCAGGGACATAGAAAGGGAATGGACTGACTATTCTTGGGGGGGAAAGGGGAATGGGAGATGCGGGAAGAAACTGGACAAAAATCGTGCACCTGATTGGCTGCCTCCTGCATGCCCCCTACTGGGGATTGAGCCCACAACCGGGCATGTGCCCTGACTGGGAATTGAACCATGACCTCTTGGTTCATAGGTTGACGCTCAACTACTACTGAGCCATACCAGCCAGGCTAAATTTATTTAATTTTAATAATTTGTTTAAAAATTCTTTTGTATTTTTTTAATCCTCACCTGAGGATTTCTAGAGAGAAGGGGAGGGAGGGAGGGAGGAAGAGAGGGAGGGAAAGAGAGAGAGAGAGAGAGAGAGAGAGAGATTGATATGAGATAGTGTTGATTGGTTGCCCTTCATCTGTGTCCCGACCATGGATTGCGCTGTAACCTAGGTATGTGCCTTGACTGTGAATTGAACCTGCAACCTTTCGGTATACAGCAGTGATGGCAAACCTATGACATACGCGTTAGAGGTGACACGCGAACTCATTTTTTTGGTTGATTTTTCTTTGTTAAATGGCATTTAAATATATAAAATAAATGTCAAAAATATAAGTCTTTGTTTTACTATGGTTGCAAATATCAAAAAATTTCTATATGTGACACGGCACCAGAGTTAAGTTAGGGTTTTTCAAAATGCTGACATGCCGAGCTCAAAAGATTCGCCATCACTGGTGTACAGGATGATGCTCCAATCAATTGAGCCACACGGGCCAGGGCTCTTTTGAATTTTCTATACACATAAATGTATCCTCTACAAAAAACAACACATATTTCTTCCTTTCTGTTTGGTCAATCTTAATAGATTCTTACTTCTCTGTCACACTTCTTAGTATCTTTTATTTTTTTAAACATTTATTTTCTATATGTATCCAATCATTTCATATCTATTGTCTTTGGGGGTCTGATTCTGCATATTGTTGTTTCTGCTGACTCTAACTCATGGTGGCTCTTCTCTTTAAATATTTATGATTTCTTTATTGTTATCACATATTTCTCAGTGTTTTATCTGTTGTGATGTTTTGAGGTGTGAGTTGGGCATGTGCTCCTCTTAGGAGGATTTGCATTTCTTCTGCCAGGTGCCTGGGGTACTACCAACCTGGTACTCTTATACACTAAATGTTTAGCTTTGAATTTGTAATTACATAAGGAGTGTGAATTCCAGCCCTTAAAACAAATGTGAGTAGGCTTATGATTAGGAATTAGTAGAGGAGATCTTTTTTCCATTCAACTCAGAGCCAAGACCTAGACAGAACTTTGAGGGTGGGATGTTTTTTGTTTTGTTTTTTTCAGTCACCTTTCAGAGGTACTGGCCTGAGGAGTCCTTGATCCTACCTTTTATCCCACACAGGTCCCGGAGTTTGGCTCCTGTTCCCAGCTCTAGGCCCCCTAGGGATTGGCAGATATCTTCAGGGTGAGTTCTGACTTCAGCATTTGCTTACCTCTGTATTTGAGTTTTCTCAACTTGGGCCTCTGAGGATTTCCCTTGCTTTCACACTATTAACTATTAGGGTCATCAAGAGGAATGCACGAGGCCGAAAGTGGTAAAGAATTATAAATTTATTAGGTCATCTGGAAACCATTCGGGGAATCAGAGATTTTTAAGGACTCTAGGCGGGCTTTCTCTGTGCGGGGAATTCCCTGGGTGGGTCCAGATCCTGGGCAAATCCGGAGAGGAAAGTTACTGGTCTTAGCAAATGGAATGTGATCTAAGCGAAAGGGAATGTCAATTGCAAAATGACCTAAAGGTCAGTTTCCTAGGGGAGGGGGTATCAATTCAATTATTTGATAAGACCTAACAGTAGCCCTACATTTTAAAAGCTGTTTTTAAAAAAATATTGTATTAAGTATCTATGAGTACTCTTCATTGGCAAGGTTTCTCTGACATCTCTGCTGGGAATAAGCACTTCTGGATGGCTGCTCCTCGACAAATTCAGCTCCAGGCTGATCTGAGCATGTCCCAAACTGTCAGCGGGCTAGAGCTAGTCAAAAAGGCCTATTGCACAACAGATTTACTTTAAAAAAAATATTTTTATTGATTTCAGAAAGGAAGGGAGAGGGAGAGAGACATCAATGATGAGAGAGAATCATTGATCGGCTGCCTCCTGCACACCCCCTACTGGGGATCGAGCCCACAACCCAGGCATGTGCCCTTGAGCATAATCGAACCCGGGACCCTTCAGTCTGCAGGCCAACGCTCTATCCACTGAGCCAAACCAGCCAGGGCTACTTTTTAATAAGATAGTTGTGGTTGAGCATAGAATTTGTTCCCTTCTGATACAGTTCATACAGAGAATTTGACGATGATCAGTTGCTCTCGACTGGAGGTAATTTTGCACCTTTCTTCTGCCCAGAGGACATTTGGCAAATATCTGAAGACATTTTTTGGTTTTCACAGTCAAGAAGGGGGTGCCACTGGCATCCTGGGAGAGAGGCCAAAGATATTGCTAAATATCCTACAATGTCCAGAACACCCTATACATAGACAGCAAAGATTATCTGGCCCCAAGTGTCAATAGTGTCAAGATTGAGAAACCCTGGACAATAATTACAATGCCTTTTTTTGTTTTGTTTTGTTCACCCTCACTGGAGGATATTTTTCCATTGATTTTATTATATTTTTTAGAGAGAGTGGAAGAGAGGGGGAGAGACACACAGAGAGAAACATCGATGTGTCTCATATCGATTGGTTGCCTCCTGCACGCACCCAGATCAGGACCAGGGATGGAGCCTGCAAGCAAGGTACATGCCCTTGGCAGTCAAACCCAGGACCCTTCAGTCTGAGGGCCAATGCTCTGTCCACTGAGCTAACCCGGCTAGGGCTAAGTCTCAAGTATAGGGATGACTGCTTTTTTTTTCTAACTCTTTTGGCTTAGATATAAAAATTTTAAACGTTTGTCAAAAATTAATGAAAGAGAATGAACATTCTCTTTCCATGCTACCATCTGTTGAACATCTTTTCTGCCTCAGGCACAGTGCTAAGTATATTAATGAAGACAATAACATTTATTTCATCATATTCTCCAGAACTTTAGTAGTGTTTTTGGTCAAAGGTGGACATAAAGGCTTCAGAGTACATGATAGGTGCATTGCAATTTTCAAGTAAACTATGCAATCCAAAGCAGAAACCGTTTGTATTGAGTTCTGCCCTTGGCAGTCAAACCCAGGACCCTTCAGTCTGAGGGCCAATGCTCTGTCCACTGAGCTAAACCGGCTAGGGCTATAATGTTGCTTATAAGTACAGGGATGACTGCTTTTTTTTTTCTAACTCTTTTGGCTTAGATATAAAATTTTTAAATGTTTGTCAAAAATTAATGAAAGAGAATGAACATTGCTACCATCTGTTGAACATCTTTTCAGCCTCAGGCACAGTGCTAAGTATATTAATGAAGACAATAACATTTATTTCATCATATTCTCCAGAACTTTAGTAGTGTTTTTGGTCAAAGGTGGACATAAAGGCTTCAGAGTAAATGATAGGTGCATTGCAATTTTCAAGTAAACTATGCAATCCAAAGCAGAAACCGTTTGTATTGAGTTCCTAGGCACGAAAGTATGTATTATTTCAAAGCTGGATTTTAGTTTGATCAACATGTCACAGTGTGGTTGACATGACCACATACGTAAACACAAGCCTGGCGTTCCCCCTTCAGCACCGTGACTCAGGCTGCAGATAGCAAGCATTCCAGTGATCACTCTCTGGGTCTCCATTGCAGATTCTGCCTGTCTCAGCCTGTGATGTCTTCCTTGCCGGGCCTCCCTTTCAGGGAAAGGAGAATTGCTTAAGACTTAAAAACTTGCTCAGCAGCGTCAAGTCCACTTGCCTAGTAAGAAAGGGCAAATCTTCACAAACATAAGGCCATTTGACCTGAAGAGTCCCATCCCACAGTATTGTCCGGGGCAGGGGACAGGGATGCTGACTGCTGGCCTCGATCCTGCTGCTGCTGCTGTCTTATTCTCCAGACCCCTCGTTCTCAGCTGGACCGGCTGTCCTCCCTGAACCCCGTGGCCTCCCCGCCTGGTGAGCAGGTCTGCCTGGTTGTGGTTCCTCCTGGGACTCCCACTGCCACCAACTGGGCCACATCCTGCCGAGTCCCTAAGGAGGGCCCCATTCACAGAGAAGGGCTTACTCTGTACTTGGGCAAAATAGGTTTGACAATCATAAAAAACCTAGAAGTGGGCAAGGCAACCTTACCCCACCCCCTGAGGACTGGGATAATGGTTGAAGTACAATAACTAGTCCATCATGGACCACAACTAATCACACTAAGGGACCAGTGTCTCAGGCTCCCTTGAAAGGCAAAGCACTAACCCTTTAGTTGCTGGATCTGAGAAGGCCCAGGAGAGGGGCCTGAGCTGCAGGGGGCGTGGCCTTCAGGGGCTCCTGACAGCAGGTGTTTAGCAGCTGGTACGGAGGCATTTCAATACCAGTAGGTAGGGCCATCGTGGTGCCTTCCAGCGATGTGCATTGTTTACTCTACCAATGACTTCCGTGAAGTGGCCAGCGACAGCAGTCACTGGCAGGATTATACAGAACTGGAGTGGGTTCAATGACTGAAAAGACAGCTTGTCTGCTAGTTGCCTAAAATAACATTACTAATGGGTATCAGCAAACTATGCATGATCAAAATGGGGAGAGGGACAATCAGCCCCCAGCAGCATTTCCCTGTAACCTGGGGTTTGAGAAGCACTGGAGGCTGTGGGTACTGGTTTCTGTCCTCCAACTCTGTGGTGCCTTCAGAATCTCATGCTTTGTCTGGGGCTAGAGACGTGCTCTTCCTGACCAATATGTCACAGTCTCTTCAGACCCACGGTCTGAGGGCTTGACAAGCCCTGCTTCTCAGCAAGGGACCACCATGGAACAATAGTTGTGTGTGTGTGTGTGTGTGTGTGTGTGTGTGTGTGCTTCTCAGCAAGGGACCATCATGGAACAATAGTTGAGTGTGTGTGTGTGTGTGTGTGTGTGTGTGTGTGTGTGTGTGTGTTTCTGTGCTGTGTGCCATGGATATGGTATATAAGTGTGGTTGGGTGTACATGCCTCTGTGCACATGTTAAGAAAGTGCTGAGGCAAGTGGTCTTAATGAGACTGAGAAAATGGCGACCAGAAGAAAAAAGAGTGGAGGGGACCTTCAGCCAAGCCCTTGAAGTGCATTGTACATGATCATACCAGGAGCCTGGCTAGGCCACTCAGCAACTGACAGCACCCAGCGATGGTCCCCCCTGATTGGGAGGGACCCCTGCCCCTGCCCCTGCCTCTGCCCCTGCAGGGTGGGAAGGAAAACACATTTCAAAGAAAATTTGGAATGGGGGTAGGAGCTCTTTGTTCCTTTGCAGCTTATGCACAGATTGTGTGTGTGTGGGG